CGAATCGAACATAATAATTTGATAGATTTGAAGCGTTCCAAGCCTCCTCGCTGGAGGAAAGTTATATTTTTTTTTAAACAGAATCGCTGAACATTTGTTTCTACGTACCCATGATTTCGAGGATGGTCGAAAAACAGCATCACGTTGGAGGGTTTGGGGTTCGAGAACGCGTAGCGGCCGCGGTGAACGAAAAGGGAGCTGAAGAGACGAAGTAGAAGAGAGGATTCACTGTGAAGCATAGCGGGGTACCACTTAGCAGCTCGACAAACACGCCGCACGCTACGCTACCGCGGAAAAAAGGCTGGAAAAGAGGGTGAAACGGATGGAAGAGACGGAGGAGCGTCTCCTGATTTTGCATTTTTCATTTAGTCCATGTCCCCCTTTTGCTCGAGCGCATTGGTAAGTGCGCGTGATTCACGATGCACTCGTTGCAGATCGCTAGTTAGCATAGAAACCAGTAATACAAGACAACAATGCAAACAGAGTTTCATGCAGCATCCGTGCACCAGCGAGTGTACCGAGTCTTTTGTTCGCGGGAATCATTATGCCATTTGAATTTTGGGCGTCAGGATGCGACCTTCCGATGCAACGATATTGAACACACTTCAGAAACGCTGATGCAACGTTCCTTCCACCCCCCACACGTTTCTTCCCTTTTGCGTCTTCTTCCCGAAGAATCTTTTACTTTAAATTTGTCATTTTGTAAATTTGTTGGGCCATCTTTGGGAATTTTTCTCCAGAAAACTATACGATTTTCGAAGTCGAGTGTTTCTTGCATTTTTATTTATTTATCTTTTACCTATATGCATGAATTTTTTTGTTGGGAACAAATAAAAATTGTGGAAGTTATGATTTAAGTAAAATTGATATGATATAAGATTAAGGGGCTTACTATTTTGAGGGTCAAATAAATTAGTTATTTTGGCGAATTTTTTACGAGAAAACTATAAGATTTTCAAGTCGAGTGTTTCTTGCATTTTTATTTATTTATCTTTTACCTATATGCATGAATTTTTTCATTACGAACAAATAAAAATTGTGGAAGTTATGATTTAAGTAAAATTGATATGATATAAGATTAAGGGGCTTACTATTTTGAGGGTCAAATAAATTAGTTATTTTTGCGAATTTTTAACGAGAAAACTATACCATTTTCGAAGACGAGTGTTTCTTGCATTTTTATTTAATTACCTTTTGCCTATATGCATGAATTTTTTCATTACGAACAAATAAAAATTGTGGAAGTTATGATGTTAAGTAAAATTGTTGTATAAGATTAAGGTGGTCTACTATTTTGAGGGTCAAATAAATTAGTTATTTTTGCGAATTTTTTACGAGAAAACTATAAGATTTTCGAAGTCGAGTGTTTCTTGCATTTTTATTTATTTATCTTTCGGCTATATGCATGAATTTTTTCATTACGAACAAATAAAAATTGTGGAAGTTATGATGTTAATTAACATTGTTGTATAAGATTAAGCTGGTCTACTATTTTGAGGGCCAAATAAATAGTTATTTTTGTGAATTTTTTACGAGAAAACTACAAGATTTTCGAAGTCGAGTGTTTCTTGCATTTTTATTTATTTATCTCTCGGCTATATGCATGAATTTTTTCATCACGAACAAATAAAAATTATGAAAGTTATGAAAAGATAACTCCGTTTAATAAAAGATATGCATAAAGATGATTAAAATTTAGAAAGCATAGTTTTTCTGAGTTGCATGGCGCGCCCTTCACTACCAGTGACATTCTCCATCAAATATCAATACATAAGACCGTGCAATAGTTATCAACGTTTCATTTCGCTTTAAACCTTGAATACGGAACCGATATAGCACATTTCTAAAGACTTCCTTCGCGCGTATTGTTTCAGGATTTCAGTCGCGTATTCAGATCAGTGCCGCCGTCATTTCACCATACTTTTTTTTTTTTATCTGTTTTTTACTTTCTTCCCGTCGGTTCCGACTAGCTTCGTCGCCGGTTTGTTATAAAGGCGGGATAAAAAGGTATCGAAATTCAAACGCGACTCGCGTAACAGGACGATCTCGACGCCGAAACGTCGGGAGCGGAATTCACGGGCGGCCGTCATCTTCTTCCGTTAGATACTTTTCAGTGCGCTATTGATCATTCCGCCGTGCACGGTATAAGATTGAAAACGTGTCTGCTCGTGCTGGCGAGCAATTTCCGCCGCGTCCCCGTTTTCGAGCCGGGGACATCTTTTTGTTAATTTCCACGGAACAGTTCGCGCGATTTTACTGCAAACGTGACCAGAAATTTCGAACGCCTTTCGTTAAACAAGGCGAAAGAAACGATAAACGGGTCGGAAGGAAACTGCAAACGTATGTATTGTTGCCCGCACCTGGCTCTGTCTGATTAATTATCGACTAATACTACTGTTAACCCACTTATGGAACAGAATCGGAGGAAATCGCGAGCAATAAACAACCAATCGAATCAACGCAATTCGTTCGATCGAACGTTTAAACTTTGACCTGTTCCATCGTAAAATACAGTTACATTTTAAACGATTTTGAAAAGAATAAATAAGTCAAATGCATTTCTTTGAAACTTGGAAACTTTTGAAACGATTAGATTACCAATTTTGGTAGAATATTTCGGGACGAATCAACCGCCTAAGTCGACCACTTACGATGGCGTTTATCGTCCAAAACGTTCGAAGTTCGACGCGAAATTGCAAATGGCAAATCATAAATAATGAATACGATACTCGTTCCTTCCCATCGAATTTCAACAGCCACGTTCCCATACCTAACTGTCATCGTTAGGTCTAATTTGCGAGCCGTCTATTTAATGGCGTTAATTTCGAAATCACACCGCAACGACCACTGCAGGACGCCATTCACCGGATGATGCGTTTGTCCGGCGTACGATTCGCGAGGTTTGTTAATTACAGAGCACCTACGTCTGTTATTCTTTCGTTTTATTTAATGTTTATTATTCTCGGGGTGTGCAATTCCGCGGAACGGCGGTGAACAACGGGACACGGAAGAAAACGACCGTTCTCGCGTGGAAAAAGGAAACGAAAGAAATTCATTTGCACGCGAAACGACGGTTCATTTCATTCCCGCGGAAAATAATTTCGATATTTAATTAAATCAATAAACTGCATGAATTTCTGTATCCCGTTACAGGTCGTTGGAACTTATCGCGATACGCTGATAATTAAATTGGGGCGTTGAAAGAAACTCGATCACGTGAATTCGGCGATTGGCCCTTCAGACATGGAATCGATTATCAGAATTGACAGGGGTATAATTAAATAATGAAGAACGTATCGATTGCTTGGCTTTTATCGTGAATAACGTATTAGAAAAATATTTTTGTTCCACGATAAAATACACAGTTTTGATTTTATTTTTGTTTGCTATGCGCGTGTCGATATTCAGTTACAAAGTGCTATCTAAAATTAATCGAAAACAAAATGGTCGAAACGCTGTGACAATGAACAGACACATTTGGTTTGGGGTTAGGCGACCGCCAGTTCGAACGTTATGGCGCACCGCATGCTCGAAATTATTATAGAATTTGTATCCCGGTTAGTATTTTCCTTCTGCTTCTTTGACTCGTTTTTTATCTCTACTAAAAGACAATTCACGAGATTAAAAAAGCTCCAGAATTTTCATTATTGACTGTGAAAATTCGGGAAAACATTTCTGGTCACACATTATATTTTCAGTAAAGAATTTTTTTCTTGAAAGTGCGTAGAAATTCAGGGGTATGCCTATTCACCAAAAATGATTGTAATTAACCCCCGCAACAGAAAATAATTTTTCTAGAATGATTTGAAATTTTTTTTTTCGCCGAAAAATTAAGGCACCTACCACTATCGATTTCACTTAAAGATTTGTTTTCCATTTTTAGTAATTTTGTTTGACGCCCTATAGAAAAGTTGTGTAATACTTTTTTGTAGGTAGCCATGAGCTCTACTTCAGAAAAAAGTTCCATTGAAATATATTCACTATTGTAGGAGTTATGTCTGTTTGAAAATTGCACCACTTTTATGGGGTTTTTCTCACTTTACGGGGTTGAGGACCAAAATTATGAATATTTTTGCGATTTCTACATATTCTCCGCTAAAATACGCGTTATTTGCATTTTGAAACATTAAAATCGTCCAATCCGTTCAGAAGTTATGACGTTTTAAACATTCGCATGAAATTTTAGAGTGACATTTTAGGCCATACATTATATTTTCGATTAGGAATTTTTTTCTCGAAAGTGCGTACGATTTCGAGGGTATGTCTATTCACCAAAAATGATTATAATTGCCCCGTGCAACAGAAAATAATTTTTCTAGAATGATTTGAAATTTTTTTTTTCGCCGAAAAATTAAGGCACCTACCCCTATCGATTTCACTTAAAGATTTGTTTTCCATTTTTAGTAATTTTGTTTGACACCCTATAGAAAAGTTGTGTAATACTTTTTTGTAGGTAGCCATGAGCTCTACTTCAGAAAAAAGTTCCATTGAAATATATTCACTATTGTAGGAGTTATGGCTGTTTGAAAATTGGACCACTTTTATGGGGTTTTTCTCACTTTACGGGGTTGAGGACCAAAACTATGAATATTTTTGCTATTTCTACATATTCTCCGCTAAAATACGCGTTATTTGCATTTTGAAACATTAAAATCGTCCAATCCGTTCAGAAGTTATGACGTTTTAAACATTCGCATGAAATTTTAGAGTGACATTTTAGGCCATACATTATATTTTCGATTAGGAATTTTTTTCTCGAAAGTGCGTACGATTTCGAGGGTATGTCTATTCACCAAAAATGATTATAATTGACCCCTGCAATCGAAAATAAGTTTTTTAAACCATTTTGAAATTTTTTAATTTCGTCGAAAAATTGGTCCGCCTACCCTTTGTTATTTTTAATAAATTTGCTTGACAATCTACAGAAATGTTATTAAATACTTTTTTTGTTGGTAACTATGAGTACTCGATGCATGTAAATCTAGAGTCAAAGTGCTCACCTGTGCATCTGCAAGGATGCGTCGCATCAAGGCCAAGGTGGGGTGCGTTGTGAGATCATCTTGAAGGGCAAGTGCTTCACCTTCTTTGTTTAATCGGTTTAGTGTAGTGAGAGCTGAAACAAACCACAACGATGCGAACAAGAATTAGTGGGAATCCAAATTATCGTAAAAGTCATTGATTTCCATTTACCGCGTCGGGTAATTACAATTATTCACCGACTTCTCTATAACGAATACCAGATCGACTCGTAAACTATCTCCTACGTACCTTTTTGTTCATAAATTCATTTATGCAATGAAATCTATTAACGAAACTTTTCAAAATTCGCGTGACAAAAAGTGTGGGCAGAAGCTAGTTTACAAGTTTTGTTCGTTATTGCACATCTCATAGTTCGTGGTTAACGTGGAAAGGCGATTAAAAATTAGATCGAAAGCGGGGAAGAATATTTGTTATGTTGCTTTGGGAAGTTTCCTGTTATTGTGATGGTTAGCTATTAATCATGCAAGAGAAAGTAGGACCTTCCACAATATTCACTACTCATTAGAATAGCTTTCTGCTCTCAACACTTCCTTGTTTTCAACTTCTTCTCAATTCATCTACAATATTTGTACGATGAACAAGTGCCTTAAGCTCGATTAACCATCCACCATTCGTAGAAACACAGGAGATATTAAAAAATACCGAGCTGATTATAGCTATTAATCATGCAAGAGAAAGTAGGACCTTCCACAATATTCACTACTCATTAGAATAGCTTTCTGCTCTCAACACTTCCTTGTTTTCAACTTCTTCTCAATTCATCTACAATATTTGTACGATGAACAAGTGCCTTAAGCTCGATTAACCATCCACCATTCGTAGAAACATAGAAGATATTAAAAAATACCGAGCGTCTAAGTGTTGCGATAAGAATTCCCGTAAAATCTAATTACCGTTGACAAAAGTTTCCAGCGGGTTAAAAGCGGACATTGATCACGATTCCGGGGTGGTGGCAATTCCCAGACTATGGTAAAACTAATTACATTAACGTCGTTCGTGGCACGACACTGCCGGAAACTAATACACGAGCGGAGCTTTGGCATAGCTGGCACGTCCTGTCATTAACCGGGTACATCTGGTGAAATCGGTATCCGGGAAATATCAAGGGATGCGTGCCACTAAGCACGCCGATGCCTTCGCAACCGTAGACAGAGCAGGGGGGGGGGCGGGGAGGGGGCAGGAACCATGGGATTCCAAGCTCGGTTTAAACCGGCCAAGATGGCTGTCTCTTGACTCGTTCATCTCCCATTACCTTCACCGAGTCGTTTCTGCGACGGGATAATTGAATTCTCGGAGCATGGTAGTCGTGGCGCGAAGGTGGAAAGGCCCGAGGGGTGCCAAACTGTTATCGACAAGTTCGTGAGAGAAGCTCGTTTCGGGCTCGGAGACGAACACGCCATCCCTTACCGTCCCGTTCTCCTCTCCTCATCGTTGATATATCGCGTTGGACTTTGAAGTGCGCTTTGATGTACAACGTGCGAGAAATTTCTGGCGATGGCGAAATGGTTCCCTAGGCTCGGTCGAGTCATGGGGGAAGATTTTTAATGTCTCGCGACGATCATCTCGCGATCTTCCTCAAGCTTCCGAGGACCAAGCTGTTCGAAAACGTTCCATAAAGTTAAGTTCAATTTCGAAGGATACTGGGAACAAGCGTTTCCCAGCGTTTGAAAACTCCCACGGGAGTCTTTTTTAATCCATAGATACAACAACATTGTATTCTACAATTAAATCAGGTTACATATAGAGAGGGAGGTTTATTAGTAATTTACTCAAATATGAACCCTTAAATATCTCAATATAAAAAATGGAGTCATGCAAGTATAAAAGACAACTCTACTCATAAGAAACAACCTCTTCTCCATTTATAATGAATTACCATTACAGTGTACGAGTATAAATAGTAACAGTAACTGTATATAAATGGGGGAAGGGCTCGATAATAAAGAATACAAATTACCGTTTAAAAATTCGTTAACTCTCGTAGAACCTGCGCTATCCTCTTTCCACGAGTGCAGTAAAAAATAACTGACAGCGAAACGGAGTATACTATCGAACGCTCGACACCCTCGCTTCCCCGTTCGCCCAATTATTTATTTACATGCCAAGAAGTATTCCCCAAGTTCGTTACTCGAGCAATTTCTGGCGTTCGCGTAATTGCTCGAATTTGAAAATGAATTAAAACAGAGTGTTAAAGGCTCGTCCCGCGCGGCGGCAACGATTTTCTTATCTCGTCGCTTAATTACTGGAGCAACGGAGTTCCTGATGAAAGGACGTAACGGTCGTTTCAAGTGCGAGCGGGATACAAGCTTAACGCAATTACGTTGTGAATTATTTGTTTCGTGGAAAGAGGCGCGAAACGAAATTAGCGAGCATGTTAAGCGAGAGAGATGCACGGGAATGCAGCGGAACTTTGGTGAAAAATTTCCGAGTGGTAAATTTTCGGGAGCAAAACGCGGCTGACGGAGAGGTGAGAATTTAATTTTGGAATGTATCCCGGCGAAATTCGCCTCGTAACGCGCGAACACAAAATGGAATCTTATTTATGCCCTTCAACGCCGCCGACTGACACGGATTCGTGGAAATTTTCTGCGAGATCAATTTTCGAGTATCAGAAAATTGGGTATTATTTAATTTGGTGATTGTTTCGGGGTCGATCGAGTTAAAAAATATACCGATTTACTTAGTTTGGTGCGTCTGTCACCGTGTATTTTTACTTGGGTTAATGTGTTCCCTGAAAAAACCCGATTTTCTCGCGTATGGAAATAATTTTCTATTTTTTCGTAAAATCGATCAATTTTCGAGTATCAGACAATTGGATAGTATTTAATTTGGTGATTGTTTCGGGGTCGATCGAGTTAAAAAATATACCGATTTACTTAGTTTGGTGCGTCTGTCACCGTGTATTTTTACTTGGGTTAATGTGTTCCCTGAAAAAACTCGATTTTCTCGCGTATACATAGAAATAATTTTCTATTTTTTCGTAAAATCGATCAATTTTCGAGTATCAGACAATTGGATAGTATTTAATTTGGTAATTGATTTGGGGTTGTTCGAGTTAAAAAATATACCGATTTACTTAATTTGGCAGGTCTGTCTATCACCGTGTATTTTTACTTGGGTTAATGTATTCCCTGAAAAAACTCGATTTTCTCGCGTATACATAGAAATAATTTTCTATTTTTTCGTAAAATCGATCAATTTTCGAGTATCAGACAATTGGATAGTATTTAATTTGGTAATTGTTTTGGGGTTGTTCGAGTTAAAAAATATACCGATTTACTTAATTTGGCAGGTCTGTCTATTACCGTGTATTTTTACTTGGGTTAATGTGTTCCCTGAAAAAACTCGATTTTCTAGCGTATGGAGATAATTTTGTTCTATTTTTTCGTAGAATCTCGTCACAGGAACCCGTGCGTCGATCGTGTGAGGATTAAAAAATTTCCATGTCACTCTATTATCGGAAACTTTTAAAATAGGCTGGTTGTAAATCCTGGTGCAGCTTGCACGAAAGGCAAACGTAATTATTACAACGCAGCTGCACATTAATTGCGTTATTAGGTTCGATTGCCGGTGACGATACGGTTAGCAGGCCCCTCGACAGATAATATCGAGGAACCTCTAACACCGTTATCCATTCCCAGGCGAACTTTCCTTAATTCTATTACTGCCTCACTGGCACATAACTTCGCGCTGCGTGGGAGTTATTAATACCGGCGAAAAAGCGAAATTCCCATCAGGCCAAACCGGCGATAAATCGACCCGTGGATCCCAGCTACGCGACACCGATGCAGTTTTCGCGAAAACGGATCCATCCTGCTGAAATATTCCGCCTGGATACCGCTGCTTCAAGATTTCCGACCATCGACAGACTCCGGGTACAAAAGGAAACTCTTGAAACTGTAATATGGGATATCAAAGAAAAAGATTCGTAGACTTTGAAGATTCACAGTAGGCGAGAGGGGCAGAAATTTTTAATTAACGATCTTACAGTCAGCTCGTTTTATTATTTAGAAACGTTCTACGAATTGGATCAAAACTCGTTGCAAAGGAATTTTTTAAACGAACGTAAAATATTTATTAAAGGACCGATTGTAGGCAGCTTTAAGTACGTGTAAATTTTTATGCTGAAAGTATTGCACGTCTTGTTAATTCGGATACTGTTGCTTGCATTAGAACTGTTGCTAATAGGTACTTTGGATCTGTTGATTTTTTAAATGTATCTTTTGAGAGATAAAGAATTTTCTATAATTTTTGAATCTATACATGAAGAATTGATAAAATTTTGTAAATCAATGAGGTTTTTGCCTGTAAATAAATAAATAAATAAAAAAATCGTGAGCAAAAGGTGGCCCACGAATAAGTCCAATAGTTTTATTCGTTATTCGAGAATAAAATTGGTCCGACTAGCCTTAGTACTACTACTAATAAATACTGCGCTTTATTGAAAATTTTATAAATCTATTTTGCCCATAAATAAATAAAGTCGTGGGCAGAAGGTGGTCCACGAATAAGTCCACCAGTTTTATTCGTTATTCGAGAATAAAATCTGTGGAGGTCCGCGCAGAAGACGTCTACGTGGACGCGTATAATGGTACGAGGTGTCTCGGATGGCGTGACGCTAAAAATAGCGGGTAAACTGTGATATGCAGAACGAGTTGGCGGAAAGATCGCGATCGCCGCGCGGCCCGTGCATTATTTTCTTTGATACGGTAATACAATCTTCGGGGGTGATTCGATCGGCGGAACGACGACCAGACGCGACCATCCTCCTCGCGGAAATAGGATGTAATCATGCAAAGTGGATTTGGGTTTCCGTGAAGCTCAAACAAGCCTCGAGACGCTGGACGGTCCTCTCCTGGCTTCCTTCGAGATTTCTTTACGGTCAAAGACAACGGTACTCGTAACGAGCACTCTCGAGAGCGAGGCTCGAACGTCTTCGGAGATTTAATTGAAGGATTAACGCAAGAGCCCGAACACCGGTCTAAAGTTAGGAACCGTGCTTTCATCTTTATGGATCCGTTGATAAAAAGACAATCCTTGATATTTCCGCGACGATATCGGTTTTATAGAAAG